GAAGATTCTCAGTCATCCAGGTCAGAGTCATTCCGTAAAATTATTAAAAAATACATTGGACTTGGTTTCCAAGATCTTTACTGTTACTGATGTGTGGAAAAGCGTTCCCGTCTTCTTGGAGCTCTCTCCTCCCTTTTGCCATTTTGAAAATTGCTTTTCAATGGGTTCAACATATTCTCATTATCAGTTCGTATGAAATCGTACGAAAAGTTACGCACAGTATTTCGTACGTTTTGGACGTTTTTCCTCGAAAAAACAAATCAGTGCGCATGCGCAGCCAGACAGACGAAAAAAGCAAATCCGCGGACGGACGTAAAACTGGGAAAAACAGTGCAAAGATTACTTCTTGATGTCTCTCACTAGGTTGTTTGCTGTTTTGTATCTTAGGGTTAGGGTTAATTGTATGTTAAATTCTATGTTATTGAATGGTGCGTAAGATGCGCATGCACAAGGATATCTTATCTCGAGGCAAGACGTAAAAATACGACGAAATATGAGGAAAAAAACGTCTAAAAAGTACGAAATTACTGTGCACAACTTTACGTACGATTTCATACGAACTGATAATGAGAATACACTGATAGGTTGAGTTTTTATTGAAAAAAATAAATTAACTGCCAAGTTTGCTTCCTAGCCATTGCCCAACAACCAAATGATAATTCTCCAGGAGGCAGATGAAGGTATCCTTCTTATACCTACCCTCTCTATGAGTAGCCTGGAGATAATGGGAATGCTGGTGGGTCCTCTGCTGACTGTGGGCCTTAGCTTCCACTGCCACCGCTCTTTTTTAAGCTGCTGCTGCCCTCAGCCTACTAACTGAGTTGCTTTCTTTCCTAACTACCTCTCTTTTTTCATAACACGACTGAGAATTAATGGTGGAATATTTGGGATGGAGGAAGTTTCTTTTTTTATAAAGTGCTGTACAGTTGGCATCCAAGCCGCTGAGAGGGACCCATTCTTTCACAAACATTTTACTCACATGTGGCCACTAAGGCTGAACCATTGTGCCAAAAATAAAAATTACAATATTTTTAATCAAATGTAATTTACCTTTGCATTAACAAGAAGCATGTAGATGTTTCACTCTTTTTTATTGTTTTCACGACCTTTTAAGCTTGCTTGTCAATAGTCCATTTTTTCAGGACTTCACTGTTGCTGTTGTGTGGAAAAGTCCTTACTTCTAATGGCTCTGCATGCCTAATGCCAGCTCTCTCTTTCCTTCTGTGTGTCGGCAAACCTGCTTTAAGAGTTTTACTGACAGCTAAAAGGCTGCAGCAATAATCTTAGTATCTTACTTATATTAAATGTAATGTGACCAAAATTGAGTCTCTCTGCGATTTGAAAATTGTATTTATCTAAATTGCAATTATATTGCATATGCATTTAATTGCCCAGCTGTAGTTGCCACAGATATAATGTGAACATCTGACATTATTAGCATAATATTGCATTTCCTTCTCCTAGGTTACCATGGAGATGTACTGTTACTACTGCAGGTTGCTTCATACTAACCAGGTTAGCAGTCTTTGATGTTTTATTGCAACTCTTCATGATGTCTTAGTGATAATTTTTATGTTGCCCTGCATCTTAAATCTCTGTTTTTGGGAAGGTGTTGCTTTATTGTACGTCTTGTACCGTGTCTTTCGGTTGTGCTGTTGTTTTTGCATCTCGTTGCAGGTGATGAAGCAGACTGAAAATGTTTTGTCATTGTCTCCTTTCTATCTCCTCTTTCTTCCATCTTTTCTCATTTTTTTTCTTCTGTTTTTCCTCTTCTGTTCTACTTACATAGCAGTGTCCATATAAACTGTAAAACTCCCTGCATAATTATAATAAAGCAATTTATATGCATGAAACAAGAGGAGCAATATGGCAATTGCCGTACTGCTCCACTTGTGAAAGTAAAATCTGTTGGGCTCTTTTTGGCATCAAGACAATTATTCTTATTGCCACATTGCCAGACAGGACACTGTTAAAAAAAAATAAAATAAAAGTTGACCAAGCAGAGGAGCTCCAGACTATGACTCTACCATCACTATATCTGACTATCAGTCAGATAGTGTGTTTCTAAAAAGTTAGTTTTAGGACAGATGACACCTTCCTGGATCCTGGCTGTGTGTTTCCTGGACAGTGGCCTGTTACAGTTGCCTTTTGTATCTATGCTTCTTTTTCTATGTCTGCTTCTGTCTCCTTGAACCCCAGTGGGCCTCAGCAGATGGCCGCTCACACTGAGCCTGGTTCTGCTGGAGGTTTCTTCCTGTTCAAAGGGAGTTTTTCCTCTCCACTGTCGCTACAAGCATGCTTAGTGTGAGGGATTGCTGAAGAGTCAATGAGTCGATGCAATCAGCTGGTTTTCCTTAGAAAGAAAACTTTGAATCAATCTGACTGGATGATCTGGTTGAACTGTAAAGTGACCTGAGATGACATGATGTGAATTGGAGCTATAGAAATAAACTGAATTGAACTGAATTTAAACTGAGTTTAACATTTTTGGGGAAATATTATCAGGACAAAATAAAAGAGAGAAAAAGGGTATTTTTGTAAAGTGTGCATATCCTTACACGAAACTAAAAACATAATCTGCAAAATAACAATGATAAACGTATGGTGTTAACCTGGCCACCATTTGCTTCTTTTGAACCTAAACAATTGAACCATGAATTCTCCTGAAAGTCCTCCTGAAAATCATCATGGAAATCCAGGAACCTTGGAAGTATACAACTTCAAGACCTTAAAACGCAAACACCTACCACTCAACCCAAGGTGGTTTGGAGATTCTTACACTGATCTCCCATATGCTGGTATGAATAGTTTTTTCTCCATTACTAAAAACAGCTTTTTGCATTTCCTTAAATTGTCTTTATCTGATATTAAATTAGAAGCAACTATATTTAAACAGAAGCCCCTGTATTACCAAAACACTGTACTTGGAATTAGAAACCACCTGTTATGGGTTCAGAAAATTAATTTATATGCCGTATACATTATGTAAAATACATGATGTATACATTATGTATTTCTAAAGAAGAAAGTTAAAATGGTGAAACTGTATTTTGAACTCTAAATATTGATAATAATAATCAATTTCAGAAGAAGACGGTAAGCCTTTGGTTTAGACCATAAATTCATCACACTATTGCAGGTGAAGATTCTCAGTCATCCAGGTCATAGTTATTCCAAAAAAGTTAAAAACAATCCACTGGACTTTGTTTGCAAGTTTGAAGATGTTTCACTTCCCATGCAGGAAGCTTTTTCAATTTAAAATTACAGAATTAGCATTGAGTTCAAGGCTGGAACTCAAAGCTACTATCAAACTTTAGTTAACAACCTGAACTTTTACTCACATTCCACTGATAGAAATGGAAAGTACAGTCTCAGATCTTATGCACGAGAGCCCCTTAATGTCCCCTGGTGTAACGACTGGTCAGCTTTTACAACTGTCGTTTTCTACATTTAGAGTGTTATAGACTTAGGCTGCTGGAGGACGCAGGGGCCCCTTTTTTTATCATCCTTCTTCTGCTTTTTCTCTTCATAGTAGCTGCATAACACCTGGAGCTTTAGCTGTGACACCATCCTGGGTGGAGGCATCAGACGGGTTGGGCCTATTTTTCAGTGTTTAGTCCTGTATCTGCTTACTTTAATAATTTTTGACCTGAAAACTGAATCAGAACTCATCTGCTTATCTTTTTCTTTTCTAGACAGAGCCACCTAGGGAGCTAGTTTACCGGTAACTTTTCTAACCTAGAAAGTATTTCTATATCAGTGATCCTATCCACCTTTTATATATCTGCTTCTTTCTCCTTGAACTCCAGTCAGTGAAACAGCTGCTTGCACTGAGCCTGGTTCTGGTTCTGCTGTAGGCTTCTTTTTCTTAAAAGGGAGCTTTTCCTCTCCACTGTTTCTGCGTGCATGCATGGTATGAGGGATTGCTGCAAAGTCAATGAATGGGGAGCAGATATACTGTTGCTACACAATCATCCAGAAGGAGTAAATCCCACAAAGTCAATCAGTCAATGCAGTCAGCTGGGTTTCCTTTGACAAAAAACTTTAAACAGTCTGTCTGAATGACTTGATTGAAATGTCTAATTTCATAATGACATTATATATGAGGACATTGCATAATATCATACAAGCCTACGAAAGATATTCAATGTTGCCCAACAATGCAATAAAGCTCAACATTTTCCCATAAAGCAACAAGCACTGATTGTTTTAGACTTTCATCCCACAAAAAGGACACAAGAAAAGGATGTTTATCTCACAGACAATGTTTTTATTCACATCCTCTCTTTTTACAGTTGACAACAGCAAGACAGAATGTTTCCACGACACAGAGATGGAGAAGAACAGAGTTCGTGAACACAGAGTTCCACCTAATGTCAGGCAGGTCTGATCTCATGGGTTTAAATTCGGGTTCTTATGGCACAGCACGGTCGCTATTGGACAAGACAGGAGCTGCGGAAAGAGCTCCAGTCAGTGATGGTCATTCTGTTGGCTTCAGAGGAGGTGAGAGGCACCTGTTGGCTCCTCTAGGTGCATTCTGGGAAGTCCCCGGATGGAAAGCACAACGAGGAGGTAAGAGAGCTGTGGAGTCACCACATGAAGGAGTCATCGTATCTGTTGGGAGGCAGAGAAGACAGTCAGAGTCTGTTTGTTCATATGTTCACATAACCTCAGGGGGAATTAGGAGCTTCACCTCGATCGCTGATCTCTGCTGCTGTCGCCTCCAAACAGCAGCTCTGCAACCAGGTCCTCCTGAGCTGAACGCTTCCCATATCTGAGGAAAGTTGAAATTCTGTCAAACCTCCATTTTCCCAAAAATTCTGTAAATCCATTTTTAGAATAAGTCCTATATGACATAACTGGGTGCTGCCAGCCATACTTCCTGGAGGATGTTCACATTTATTCAACTCTATGTTTGTTAGGACAGGTCTGAAGGCTGGGATGCAGAGTTACAGACGGATTTCACAGCATTTAGATGTGTGTCTGTCTAATTTAACTTTTATATAAAAATATATACTATATAATATATTCTTTTTTTCATTTAAATATGAAGTATTATTATTAATGGGATAAAAGCAGGGTATCAGGGGATTCTGGGAATATCAATGCAGTTTAAAAGGGAATGGGGTGATGGTGGGGGTAGAGTGTGTGTGTGTGTTGGGGGGGTGATAACATAGCTTACCAACTGCCCCCCAACAGAGCGAGCAGCTCTTATTTTCTCATCAACAGACCCCATGACCACTGCATCCAATCTTACGCTCCGATTCTTCCTCTTGGAAAGCAATGATGCAAGCAAGCAATACACACGTTGAACCCCAGCTGGTACCATTTCACACCCTGAGATGTTTTCCATGTCCGACAATGGCCACTTATCAGCCATAAATCTACAAAGTTGGTGCTTCTGATGTTTTCTATCAGCAAAACAGTTTTTATGTGAGGTAGCGGAAAATGAGGGCTTCACAGTCCGAGCGGAAACAAGCTCACCTGACGCTAAAGGGAGACCTGATGAACATTATTAGAAAGTAGAGATTCACCAATAAGGATATTCTGACTGACTTTTAATCTCAGTTGTTTGAGTGTCGACCTATCAATGCACATTGATATATAAAAGTAAGTTTAAAATAGCATCTGTGTTTCCTCTGATTTTATTTCAAAACATCTGCAATGTTGTGAAAAATAGGGCTGGGCAATTAATAGCATTTGCAATTTAATGGTATAGAGGACAATCTTTTATTTCCAGGTGGATCATCTAAATAAGTGGTCCTCCTAATGTCAATCATTCTGGGGATATGTTCACATTAGACTGTCCTTCCTGCTCTTCCCATTAGCTAGCTTTCTGCGCTGTCAGGTGCGGTGAGCAATGGATTCAGACAGTCATTGAAGCTCACATTTCTCACTGCGGGTCTTTAAAAATAGCCGAGGGAATGCTGCAAGAGAAAAGGTGTCTACGAAGTGCATGAGAAGAAAAGAAAGCTATTAAGGCAGATATATCCCAGAATGCTTTGTGTGAAGAGCTCTGCTCGCAAAACATTATGGGATTTGCTGTTCGGACGGTCAGTTAACTGAGTTCACTATAAAGTCCACTATATAGTCCCTGCTCTATATAGTGATGGAGAGATTTAGGGATTATGGTGGATATTCAGGTAGAGTAAGCTTGTATGAGCTACGAGAAGAGCAACCTTTAAACAGAGCGTGCACGAGGAGAGATGGGCTTGCACGCTATTAATAGGCGTTCCCTCTCTGGAGCAAGTACAGGGTTTGTGCATGTGTTTTTTTTTTTAAGCGGAAAGGACGGGTCTTCTAAATTATTCCCCAAAATCCTCCACTATCGCAGTGACAGTCAGTTATGGTCACCTTACATTTTACAAGACCATGAGATCAATATTTTCTTACTCCCGCCCTTTAATTAGTGGTAATACGTTTAAAGTCGGTTTGCTTCCACAATAAAGGAAATTAATTTCCTGCCAGCGTGCAGATCGAGGCACGCAAGTAGTATGTGAGCACTTTTCCAAACAAAGGTCACAGTAAAGTCCTGCTTGATTAACGAGCCTTCAAGGAAATGAAAAAAATTGAAGTAAAAAACCTACCTGCTTGGGGTTAGTGCAAGGAAAGATCCAAATAAAATCACAATCTCAATATTGGTTGATTTTTGGTAAAATCACCAAAGTTTCCTTAATGCCAAAAAGAGTCAATGTCATTAATCTAAGATCTTTGTTTCCTTTTTTATGTTTTCCTTTCCCATAGAAAGCTGATTAAGAAGGTTTCTCTGATTTATTCCATCAGCATAAAATAAATCATATGTTTTGGTTTTGTTTAATTCATTATTGAATCAAAGAATCTCTAGAACTCTATATATTCAGAGGGAGCCGACTCAGTAATTGTGCTCTTATTCTGTTCCCAACATAAAGGCTCCACTATTTACATCCACTGGTTGCATATGAAGCAGGGGTATAGGAGGACTAACCTATTCTATGGGTCATGATGTGTTTTCATAACCAATCCCCTAAATGTGTTTTTCACTGCATTCTTCTCGCCTTCAAATATCAATAAGCTATTTAACTTTCATGAATGAGAACAGATGCCCCATGAGCCAGACTGCTTTGAATAAAAACACCCAGAGTCCCTCCATAGCAGAGGTTATACCTGAGAACATCAGGCCTGGTCTGGGCTCGCTAACTGAATTTGGGATTCTATCCGGGTCCATCTTTATAACTTTTATTGCTCTGCAGCTGTTGATTTAAAGGCCTGGAGGTTAAGAGATAAGGGTGTTAATCAAATCTGTGGGACTCCAGGTAGGAGCTATAAGAAGAATCTGCGCTCATAAAGCTGTAGGCAGGAGCTGGAATGTGATTCCTGTTGTGACTTAAATGAAGGAAAATATCAGCAAACTAAAGCAGAAAAGTTTAAACCAAACCTTCTGTTGTAATATTATTTTCATTTTTATTCAAATCCTTAGCTTTTTATTCCCCCTATAGTAGAAAACATTTAGTGGTAACAATAAGATCTAAAAATGTTTGTTTCAATCAGGAGGGATTTCTCTGTCGTCTTAAAATCGGCTAAAAAGAAAAAGAAGATGGAAATGTCCTCAGAATAAGAACTTTTTTAAATTCTCTCATTCTGGTTTAAAAATAAAAATAAAAACAAACATTTTGTTTATTAATCATCAATAAAATGAGTTGGATTTTCCAGCTGTGCATACAGACCTCTGCCTGGTGATCAGGTTGATATAGTGTCTCAGGGCGGTGTAGTACTTGGCCAGCTCTTCGGGGGCGGCGTCCTCGCCAGGGTTCTCTGGCTTTGGAGGATAGGCGTCTGCCAGTGCTCCCAGACACACCAGCACACACAGCACTGTGGCCACAAGCATCGTCCATGGTTTCAGCATCTGTGGCGGGCAAGAGATCAGAGGTTTTATTTATTACATCTTTCATCTAAGAGAGAAAAATGGCTTCAGAAATGAATCGTGCTTCTCATCAGAGCTGTAATTATACCTTGAATTTCCCCATTGTGGGGCAATAAAGGGATTTTCTATTCTATTCTAATAGATTTTCAATTTTTTTTTTTTTTTTTATTCCAACTTAAAAAAAAAATGCACATTCACAACCCTGTAAACTTATCAAACACTGCGAAAAGATGCATGAGGCTATTTCAATCTGAAAAATTCACACAGAAAGAAAAAGACAATTAGAAGAATTTTAGTGATACAATTACTTTGACGCTCAAACCTCGGCTGAAAACATTAGTTTTGAATTTTGTGTTGATATGCATAAGCAGGAGTATAAAAACAGAGATATTTCCCCCCCAGGCCTGAAACTGGTGGTTAGTAGAGAAAGATGAAGTTGGTTCATTCCATAGACTGCTGGTCGGCGAGACATCTTGAGCTCTGTTGGTGGGATCCAGCAGACTGAGTGAGCTGATACTAGTGCTTCACTCAGAGTCCTGGGAAGATGGAAGTCCAGCTTGGATAAAGACAGCTGGCTTGAACCTGTCCATGATGAGCAAGCATGAGGCGACAGTTGAGAGGAAACCGGTTGATCTGATGGGAATCATACCCGGACTGCCATATGGAGAACTGGGATTATTCCCAAAGTGCCGGCCTAGGGTTGGCATGCTGGCCTGCATCTCTCTCTCTCTCTCTTTTTTTTTTTTTTTAAAGTTTTTTTAAGTCTGCCGGTGCAGCGGCGGTGCGCCTGTCAGCGAGAGGGAAAGACCAGGATGCTTCAGCCAGTAGCAGTTGAGGAGGGACACAGACTACGGATTGTGGAGGAAGGTGTGTGTGAATATGTGAACCGAATAAGGAAACGTGTGTCAGCTGGGGGATGGAGATCATAAAGATATCTGTTCTCCATCATCCCACCTTGTTCAGGCACTGCAGATACACAGGATCTCTCTGCAACAGATCGACTCAGGCTGCTGTTCACTTAATAAAACACATGAATCCATCTGCAATCATTGTTTATGAGCAGCTGGAAAATGTGGGTGACACACACCTGTCTCCAGTTGCAGAGCGTTTAAAAGGTGTTTCTCTCTATTAAGGACTCCTGTATCTGTTCTTTATATTGCTGTTTACATTCTTGATCACTGCTGCACTTTATAAATAGTAATGTTCATTTCACTGTTGAAAACTGTTTGGAAGTTTATCGAAGTCTCATTCTAATTAGAAAATTCCAACCATTTCGTTATCATCTATAATCTATAAATTTAAAAGTCTCTTAAATCCTGCTTGATTTCTTATGAATTTAAAAATAAGCTACAATCACTCACAAACTTATACCATCTTCAAACTAAATGCATAAAATTATAAATCCTAATAAATAATACCTTATTGTTTCCAGGTTTTAAATAGGAGTTTGGCGGGCTTCATTAAAGATGATTGATTTTATCAAATCATTTCTTTATCGAAATCTTGCTGCCTAAAAGCAGCTTCCTGTCATTATTATCTTTTAAAATATTAATTTCGCATCTTTGCACCACAAACCAACAGCAACAACAATCAGTCTGATAATAATAATTATAATTTGTACTCTACTTTTCATCAGGCATTCTGATTATTGGTCAATTTGAATTCTTTGCCTGGGGCACAATTTTAATTGATCTTTTTTAAATAGAAAAAAAAAAGTTGTTTTAAGATCCAAATAATCAAACCTCAGCTTCAGATGCTCGCCCGTTTTTTTTTTTTTTACTTCTGAAATCACAATCTGTCAGACATTCAACCAAAATCAACTCAAATACGGTATATAAAAACAAAACGCAGATAAATTTAAATGAGGTGATCGCATTTACTTGACTTTTGAAATAATTCCAGGAAAATTGTTCCTTCTATTAAAACAAGCATAAAAAGTGTTAAAATCTAACTAAAGGTGAACCGTCCCTGTTGGTTTTAAAACTTCCGCTATGATTAAATTGTTTATAATGTTTGGTAACAGCAGGTTGATGGAAAAACGTTCATTTCAGTCATTTCTAGATGAATTTAAGGCCCATCGCGGTGTCTCTGGATCCAAACTGAATCCGGTTCGGTTCCGATTGGCTCCCAGGAACCTCCTGCTGACGGACCCCTGAGAGCCCGCTGGGTTTAAGCTGCGTCACGTGCGCTTTAATTAACATGTTATAGTAGCCTATATATAAAAAAGGGAAAGTAAAACATGACAACATTCGCTCATTTAGTCTCTCCTTTCCAAAGTTAGAATAATTAAACATCTAACGATTGTTCTTTCTTGTAGACTTACTTTTAGCAGTTAGTAGTTGGAGCCACAGGTGGTTCTAAGAGCAGCAGCTTCTGGATTCTGTCCTTCTCGGCGGGTTTCCCTCTGCAGGTCGCTGCACCTTGCATCCAACCTGCAGCTGAAGTGATTTATATGGGTTGGTGCCAGCGGAGAAGGGAGGGGTTACTGGGAGGTGTGTGTGTGCGTCAGATGGTGCTGATGATAGAGACATTACTAATGCGTGGTGACTTTCTGATGCAGCCAACAGATGACATTTGGGGCCAAGAAATCCTGAAAGCGCGAGGAAAAAGTCGTGTTCATTGGTGATTTCATGCTTGCATCGTGTGAAAAAAGTTTCAAACATCTGGCCAGTCATGGAGGTGGTTAGTGGTGAACATCAGAATTATTAAACGTTTATTATTGAAGTAGAATTAGAAATACCGCTGTTTAAAAATACTACTGTAGAAGTTATAGGATCAACGAAAGCTTTTTACTGCAGTAAAAGTATAAAAGTACCA